GGCTGATATCACCATTTCTTTATTTCTTCTCAAACGCTTTAACTGAAGTCCCAGTGAATGAAGACATTATTCCTAGCCTAGTACAAAGAAGCCTATGGCAACTCTGAAAACAGTGTTTTAAATTTTTTCTTAAACATTTGTGTGCATGTGGTATGCTTCTCTAAAATATATTCTTGCTGATTTTATTATAAAACAGTATTTACTGTATTGTACTCCTGAGAACAGCATTTGTTCGGCCTTAGGCTCTCCTAGCACGTTCCAGCTTGTGCACACCCAATACAGCCCTAAGTGGTACTTTAAAAAAACATCTGTGTAAGGTGTGCCTAATGATATGAAGAGACTGATTTTGCGGGGTGACAGGAGAGGAGGTTGGCTTGTAAATAACTTTGAAATCAGTTTTAATCGAATTCCAAAGCTGCTCTGAACCATTCACAGTAAAAGGGCAATAAATCTATAGATTTCTAAGGTGATTATTTTGAAGGACTGTATAGCATTTTAGGTGAGTTTAAGATTGGTGGACTCTAGAGTTCATAAATACGATCCAGCTCGAAGTCTTTATTAATTTAACCAAATGTATAAATCTAAGGTGAGGTGGTGACCCAGGGGCAGGTGCTGGCTATCCTGGTGTGACTCCTTCCTTGTCCCTGTAGGCAGGATCTTACTAGAGTTGGAAAAGAGCCTCATTCCTGTTACACTGCTTCCTCTCAATATTTGAGTTTATATTAGCATTTTGGAAAGCATACACTAACAATGTCTGTACTTCAAGAGAGAATTTATAAATATCAGTCCTCTTGATTCTTGAACCAAACGCGGCCCGAGCAAGGCCATGTGTCGAACACCGAGTGCATGCAGGGGTCCCTGAAGACCCAGCTCCCCAGAGCCCCGGGAAGCCTGTGCCATCGAGGATAGCCAGCATTCGGATGGTTTTGCTGAGAATGAAAAGCCCCTCATTTCCTCCTTTGCCTTTTGGTATCAAGTGCAAGTGAATTCTATAAATTCAGTAACCATCTTCAAATGCCTACTTTGTGCAAAACATCCTGTGTGAGGAGGCTCTGGTGTACGTAGAGATGAATTGATTCTGGATTCTTGGGTCCTTTCCCTTGCATTTAAGGTGTTGGTATTCCAGCATAGGAGACCCATGTGGGTATGAATAGGTAAATCTGAAGCAAGATACTAAGACCAGAAGTGGAGTGTGAAGAGTTAAAGAAGTGGGTAGATATAAATAATTTCATCCTGTCAAAGAGAGGACTCTAATAAGGAATGGCCATGAGCTGAGTGTTTACGAACAAATAGGATTTCAACATATAATGGGGAAGGATTGTGTGCAAGAGGGAGAAGAGAAAGAGCAAAGACTGGGGGTCAGAAAAAAGCTGGAGCGTGTTTGGAATATTGCATGTTGGCAGGAAAATGGTATCCAAGAGGGATATAGAAGGCAGTAAGGCAGGAAGGATTATCTGGTATGGCCATACTAATAGGCATTGAAAGGCCTTAAATAAGGTAAATGTTAACCTATATTGAATTTTAGGGTGGCAGGAAAATGGCTAAGAGCATGAGCTTTAGAATCGGGCAGCCCTAGGTTGTAATTTTGGCTCTGGTACATCAAACCAGTGAGACTATAGATTTCTTAACCCATCTGAACTCCCAAATTCCTCCTCTGTAACATGGGGATGATTCTGGTACCTGTTATGAGGATTAAATGAGATAACATAAATTAAAGCATCTACACAGGTCCTTGGAACCTAATGAAAGGGATCTATAAATGTTAGCTGGTATTATATTAACATTTTATGGGTTCATTTAAAAAAATTTAACTCTTTACTAATGCTGTGTATTTTCTTCAGTACTATTGATGACTCATTTTTTTTCCAGAGCGTGAATCACTAAGAATAGCAGAGAACAGATTGTTCAGAATATTATTTGTACCTGTTAGGTGTTACAGATATATTGCTGCATATTAATTTAGCTCATTGTCTTAGTTTGGACTTCTGTAACAAAGATCCTGTAGCCTGGGTGGCTTAAACTTCTCACAGTTCTGGAGGCTGGAGGGCCAGGATCAAGGGGCCGGCAGACTGGGTGTCTGGTGAGAACCAGCTTTCTGGTTTACAGATGGCCGTCTTCTGGCTGTAACCTCACGTGGTGGGAAGAGCCTTCTGTGGTCTCTTTTATAAAGGCACTGATCTCGTAAGGGTACCCCTTTTATGACCTAATCATCTCCTGAGGGTCCCACCTCCAAATGCTGCCACATTGGAGGTTAGGCCATTTGGGTGACCTGCAGATCGATCAGTGTCCTTTCACACAGTCAATTCTAATGCCAGGAACTTATCCCAAGGAAACAATTTAACAGAAGCAAGCAAACAAACAAAAAACTCATATACATGCTTGGTAGGGTTTGGGAAAAGTTGTAAAATGACTCATAACTCTACCATTCTACCATTCTAAAGTAACTACCCTCTTTTTCCTTTATCTTTATTTTGCACTATAGCCCTGGTTCACATACTCATGTATTTACATATCTGCAATCATAAATATACATGCCATTTTGCATTTTAGAATTAGTGTGTCATTAAGATCTATCTTCCTGTAGTCTTTATAATTATAAATATCATTGGCTGAGTGTCTTCCCCTTTCCTTATACCGCCAAAGCTCCCTGAAAGCAAGGACCAGATCATGTGTCCAGAACATAAGAAAACATTAACAAATGCTCATTTAATGAAAACATATTGACCACATAGATTATTATGTGATTTTCTTTGTAGAAGTTGCTAACAAGTGTGGTGTGTACATGGATTTTTTTTTGTCTCTGTTCAATTGTTTCCTTATGATACGTTCCTGGGACTGGAACTAGCTGTGTGAAAGGACACTGGTCTACTTGCAGGTCATCCAGATGGCAGCGCACAAGGAGGGGTGTGGGCGCGTGTGCTGGAGTGGGGTGGACAGTCAGTGCTTCCTATCCGTAGAAACTAAGTCTTAATTTAATTTAAAAAGAGTTGTTAGGGAATGTTAGACTTTGATGGCTCCAGGTTTGTGTATGCTTCTTTTAAGCTGTTTCCTCACCTTTTTGGTGACCTGCAGGAGAAATCATGTGAAGAGCTATTTTTGTGCTCTCCCCTTATTTGGAAAAATGAAGGCAGTTCCATCAGAAAAAGCTTACTGATCATTACTGTCATGGCTGTGCTTCTGTTTGGAGAAAATGGCCTAAGTTGTGGTCAGGCTGGAGATATCCTCTATGTACGGAGCCTTCAAAGAGCTCTGTATCCGTCAGGATGGTAGGTGGCCATCAGACAATTTGACATACAGTGACCACCAAGTTAGGTGTTCATTTTCCTCATGTAGCAAGTTGCCCTGGGCTGGGCATTTGGGGCTGTGCAGATGGCTCCATGCTGTCACTGCAGATCTAAACTCTCCTTACATCTCCATCTCAGCTTTTGGCTTTCATCCTCCTGGCCACTCTGCGTCCATCTAGTTGTATTCTTGTTTCACACAGGAAAATGGGAGATGGCCAAGATGGAGAGGGCTTTTCTGTGTAGCACCTGCCCCTTTAGCAAGCTTTCCTGGGATCCCCATCCAGCAACCCTGCTTACATCTCATAGGCTAGGCCTATACCCAGTGGCTGTCACTAGCTGCCAGCAGGCGCAGCTGGTGCAGTGCTTTCCCTGATAAAACTGTGGCTTGGTTAGTGAGGAAGGGAGAAAGGATGTTGGCACCCAGCAGTGTCTGCCACAGTCTCCAGGTGACATGCTCACTGTGCTCCTGAAAGCCTCTTCTTTGAGGTGGCGAGAAGCAGGCATTGATACTTGTATTACGCAAGGGAAGACATAAAAAGATGTGAATTTGTGGGAGTCCACAAATAGCTATGACTGTGGTGAATTTATATCTGTCATCTGGGTTTTCATTGAAAATCAAAAGAGTGTATCTTACATTGTGCTCTAAAAGCCACGCAAATGTAGGGATTAAATCTCAGAATGCTGCAAAGTTTGTGTTCAGAGTAATAATTAATGTTAAGTAGCTTTATTAAGTACAGATCCTTAATCAGTCAATATAATTAAGGACTAGGGAACACTCAGGATGGATGAGTTTGGTTAGGGCCTGCTTGGTAACCAGTGAATAGCCCTCAAGAGCTTGGGTTCATAAAGCCCAACTGAATATGCTCAAAATAGCCATATATCTGGGGTTGTAGTTGGCACTTACACCATTAACTTTTATTTTTCCTGATTCGGAGGTGTTCTCAGTTACACATACACGTACCTGCCGCTCTGCCCCAGTGGTTCCCAACTCTGTGCGCATTAGAGTTACCTGGGGACCTTAAACAATATTGATGCCATGGTCCCACTGCAGATGCTCTGCTTGTGTTGGTCTGGAATGGTCTCAGGGAGAGGGAATGAGGGAAGTCATTAAGAGTGTGGGACTAGAGGGGAGAGGAATGGCTTTGGAGGCATACAGGACAGCACCCTCCACTGGAACTTCCTGCAGTGATGGAAATGTTCTATTTGCCCTGTCCGCATGGTCTGTGAGGTGCATGTGAGTATTGTGCGCTTGAAATGTGGCTAGTGCAACTAAGTATGACAAAAACTTTAAGTAGCCACATGTGGCTTCTGGCTGCCTAGCTGGACAGTGCAGATTTAGGCACAGAATCCATAGGCTGTGGTTACTGTTCGGGGAGAGGGGATGCTAGGGTCAGGAGGAGGAGTTGAGCAGAACCTCAGCGTCTGTCTTCAGAGAGCAGCAGGTAGCAATGCTCAGGTGCAGGGAGCCGAATGGGTGGGTAAGTTCATGGTTCTCACTTTAGGGTCTCAGAAATGACGAGCACGAAGCATGGCACCTGCCTAGTGTAGGTGCCCCATCTGCGTGGGCTGGTTTTAATGGTACTTCGGCAGGATTCCCAGTTCTTGTGTAATTATTTCTTTAGTACAGATACAGTCTAAAAGTATCTCTGAAAATAGTATTTCTTCCTATTCAATCTTTTTTTTTTTTCTCTCTCTCTCTCTCTTTTTAAAAATCAGGTATCAAATTGTAGTGGAAATAATCCAAGCAACTACAATTAGCAGCTTTCCCCAGCTGAAGCGGCACAAGGGTAAGAACCAGTTTGTTTTCTTCAGTTACGTGTCCTGCAGGCCCTGAGTCTGTCCCCAGGCTTCTCTGTCCGCGCTTTGGCAAGGGTGAGCACTCTTCCAGTTAACATTTAAATATTTCAAATCTATTTTAATAATAGTATAACAGCATTGGAGAAAGTAAATATAATTTCATCCTAACAAAAAACCTTTGTATTTTTGTGTTCCTTTACACACTTCATCCTTCTATAATTTTTAGAAGATTAACATATATTGGGTATATAGTGCTTCTGTTTTTAAACTAAACATGATTTCATAATTTTTTCTCATAGTATTTTAATCTTAACATTTATTAGTATTTCTAGTCCTGAAACATAATCTTGATAGTCATTTAAATGACTCCAGGAGTTGATGTTTCATAATTAACTTTTTCCTTTAGTTCCACATTTGTATTTTGAATAATTCTTTTCTTCCTTCTACTTGTATAGATGAAAGAATATATATGTTCTGGGTTTTTTTTTTCTGTTTTCCTTCCAATGATGAGATTTTTACTGAGACATGATACTGAGGAATAATTATGGTGTGAAGCTAGGTTTTCACTTCTTTACAGTTTGCTGGTCCAAGCATGTCCCCTCCCACACGTGACACTGAGGGCATGTTACTGTCTGCAGGGCAGGTCTGGGTCCATAGCTGAGAGGCAGCAAACACTACTGGCTTGCAGGTGGGCCTTTTCACCAAAATATCCAGGCCCACTCAAGGCCTTGTCAGGGAGCCAGGGCTAAAAAGGAGAGTTGGGCCCGAGACTTTCAACATGCTCCCGAGTTTGTAATTAGCACACAGAGGCAAATGGAGGCTTGGGTTGGACTTCCCTAGTCTCTCTGAGTCACTGACAGAAGGTAGGAGCTGTGTAAAAAAGGAAATGACGGTATAGACTCCAAAGAGGCACTAATTCTTAATCTCATCCCAGTAAGGAAGATGGTGCAAATGTCACCATTTAAAAATATTTACCGAACACTGCAGTGGTCGATGATGATACAAGTGAACAAAACAAAATCTGTGCATTCACCGAGTCCCGCAGCTGGGCTGGGAGGGAATCAGACAATAAGCACATAAAATACCTGGTACTGCAGCGGGTAGGTGGTATGTGCCTTGGAAAAAGGCGGAGCTGCGGCAGGAGGCGTGTGGTTGGGAGTGCTGGTCAACTGGCGCTGGAGTGGGATTGGGCCTTCAGATCGGTGACCTCTGGGCAAAGACCTGGTGGCCTGAAGAAGGACAGGGGCAAACCTCTCACAGAGGCATGTGGGGCTCACTTGAAGTGACCCTGCATGGCTGGAAAGGGGTGAGTTGAGGGAGAGAAGTCCGGCAGGAGGTTGGAGAGGTGGCGGGGACCCTTCCACAGAGGACCCCGGCAGGAGTGCAGGGATTTCTGCTCTGCGTGATGGAGGCTTTGGAGCAAAGACATGGGACAGGGTCTGATACTTCCTACAGGAGAATGGCTCTATTCTTCTTTTTCTCATTGTTCCTGCAGAGAAGATGCTTCATTTCATAGTTTGACAGATATTTTATGAGCATTTTAGAGAAGAATTTCTTGTTGCCACCATTATCTTTTGTTCAGTGCTTCTCCTTGCTATGTGAGTTCATTAAAGAAAATACCTTTCTCATTTTGTGGTGCGTGTTTTTAGTTGACTAGGGCTGCGGTAATAAAGTACCACAGACTGAGTGGCTGAAACTGCAGAAATTTATTGTCTCACAGTTCTGGAGTCGAAAAGTTTGAGGTTAAGGTGTTGCCAGGAATGGTGCCCTCTGAGGGCTGGTGGGAGGGTCTGTTCCAGCCTCTCTCCTTGGCTTATAGACGGCTGTCTTCTCCATGGGGCTTCACCTCGTCTTAACTCTGCCCATGCCTGTGTCCCAGCTTCCTGGTCATCCATGACATCAGTCGTACCATGTTACGGCCCACCCTAAAGCCCTCACTTTAGCCTAGTTACCTCTGTAATGACCCTCTCTCCAAATACAGCCACTCCGAGGTACTGGGGCTCGGCACTCAGCATATGAAGTCGGGGGTGTGGGAGGAGGGCACCATTCAGCCCATAAGAGCTCTGTTACGAGTGACACCTCCTCCTCTCACGTCCACACTTTCTGTCGCCCCTGTCCCTGGGTGTCCTGGCCGCCGCCTCTTCAGGCAAATGCGCTGAGCTCGCCTGGGGCCTTGGAGCTGCCTTGCCTTGGGACAGGACACTGGGTTCACTGCTTCTCTGAGCCCCCTGGTCAGCTGCGATTCTCATCTCCACCCTCCATGTCCACATGGTATAAAACTCCAGTGGCTTTTAGTGTTCCTGCATTTTGCAAAGGTAAACTGCCAAGATTACATTCTTAGTGTTGAATGTCTGAGAGTGTGTGCACATTTAATGTATAGAAGGACAAATTAGCTGGTAAGAATGTGTGCTTAACTTGGTGTATTCTTGCTGAAGTTTGATTATAAGTGTAGTATTTAGTTTATTAAATGTAGTGGTTTCCCAGGGCAGCCACAGCAAAGTACTACAAACTGGGTGGCTTAAGTAAGAAAAATGCAATCTCTCACTATTTTGGAGGCTGGAGATCTGAGATCAAGGTGTCAATAGGCCAGGCTCCCTCGGAAGGTTCTAGGGAGGAATCCCCTCCACAGCTTTCTTGTAGCTTTTGGCGTGGCCGGCATCCTTGGTGTTCTTCGGCTTGAAGGCACATCACTGCAGTCTCTGCCTCTGTCATCACACGGCCTTGTCCATGTCTGTGTCCTTACTTTCTTGTAAGAACACCAGTCATACTGGCTTTGGATTTACCCTAATTGAGCAGGTCTTCCATCATTGAACCAACACTTTCCAAGTGCCATGATATGTTAGGTACAGCTGTGCAAGGGATAAAGCCGTCCCTGACCTTGAGAAGATGATAGTCGAATGAGGGGATGGGTAGACGTGCACACGGAATTACAGGGCAGTTTGTTAAGTGCAGGGAGAGTGGCGTGTGGGTTCAGGTGTGTGGAGTGGTCAGTGCTACCTGGAGTGGGTCAGGAATGGCTTTCCCTTCAGTGTAACAGCTTTGAGTCAGAAACATCGAGTGGCTCTCCTACCCCTCTGGGCTTGTCAGGTGGATGTGGTTAAGTGGTACCACTGTCCACGACAAAGCAGACAGCTGTGGAACAGCCCCCTGTGCAAGGGTTATGTCTGGGAGATCCCGTGCTGCTGCGTGACGCACAATGGAGAGATAAGGCTTCAAAGGAAGATGGGCTGGTCCTAGAGGTCCCTGTAAACTATCCGAAGGAATGTGGCCCTAATCCTGTGGATCCGTGGTTCTCAAGCTACAGTGTGCATCCCAGTTACCTGGAGGGTTGTTACGATGCAGATCGCCGGGCCCTCCCCCCGAAGTCTCTGACTTTGTGGATCTGGAGCGGGACCTGAGACGCTGCATCACTCACAGGTTCCCCCGGGATGCTGATCCTGCTTATCCAGAACCACTACTGTAGATGACACAGAGCCATCGATGTGTTCATGTTTGCATTTTAGTGCCCAGCTCTCTAGTTTTTTATTACAATTAGACCAGCCAGAGTATTGAGAAATGGTCCATTAAAATAAGCTGGCTGCTATGGGCTGAATGCCTGTGTCCCCCCAGACTCGTATGTTGAACTTGTAACATCCAAATGTTGATGGTGTTAGGAGGTGAGGCCTTTGGGAGGAGGTGAAGTCATGAGGGGGGAGCCCTCACAGATGGGATTGGTTCTCATCTATGGAAACAAGGTCCAGAGAGATATCTAGGCTCTTCTACTGTGTGAGGACATGGCGAGAAGCTGGTGGCCTGCAGCCCGGAAGAGGGCCTTCACCAGAACTGACCATGCTGGTACCCTAATTTTGGATATCTAGCCTCCAGAACTGTGAGAAATAAATTTCTGTTATTTATAAGCCACCTAGTCTGTGGGATTCTGGCCTGAACTAAGGGAGCCGCCTGAACTAAGACACTGGCCAGGTCTATGAATTCTAGTAGTGCTGACATGTATAGTAAATTTTCCCTGTGGTTTAATGTGAATAAGCCCAGTATTTCATTGCCTTTAATGCTTTCTTTTTTTGCTGTTGGAAATACTGAAGTGTTCTCAAGAATAGTTAAGGTGATACAAGAGTAATAATATTCATTCAGCTGTTAACGAAGGACATGATGTTGATTTGAGTCTGCTAGAAACTGCTTTTGACATAGTTCACACTTGGGAGTGATACAATCCTAGTATAGGTTTGGTAAAATTGTGCATCCTTTTTTCTCTAGAGCATAAGTCAGTGGCTTTGGTAGAAGAGTAGAACTTCAGAATATATGGAATATGTGTATAGACGCACAGACACACTATTACTTGCCGATAAGCATAATGATATCCATGAGATATTATTCTTACAGAGATAATATGCAGCTTCTTTATCTGATACGGGACTTCAAGGTGTTCCTGCCTGAAAGAAGGGAGCTGATCTGTAGATACTAGCGGACTTCTCAGAGTTCTTTCCAATGCTGTGATGTGATCTGATTTTCTGGCATTGCAGTAATTTGATACAAACAGTTCTTAATTTATTTATGAATGACCTAAACTTATAGAACACTGCAGGCCATTGCCACGGGCCCTTGCCAGGGTATTACCTGCTCAGCCTTCACGCCCTCAGCACTGCAGCCACCAGCGCCTGCTGTCCCTTCTCCAGTGTCCTGCTTAGTGAGGGACAAAGGGTCCAGGGTCCTTCTGGTGCTCTCTAGTCTCATAATTTTACAGCCAATGCAACTCCCACCTCTTTCCCCCAAGGGAACTTTAGTCATCATACATTCTAATACCTGCATTTATACAAATGAAGTTCAGGGCCAGGGAGGTTAAGCAGTGTTCTCTGTGTAACTAGCATTATTCACTCACACGTGGACCCGAACCTTGAACCCAGCATCCTTATTTTTAGTCCTGGATTCTTTCCACTGCACTGCTCATTCACACAAGTGAATGTTACGAGAGTCATGGTCAAAGCTTCCAAATAAG